AGAATGTCCAATGGAAAAAAGACAGCCTCTTCAATAAATGGTGTTGGGAAAATTGGACAGCCACATGCAGAAAAATGAAATTGGATCATTTCCTTACACCACACACGAAAATAGACTCAAAATGGATGAAGGATCTCAATGTGAGAAAGGAATCCATCAAAATCCTTGAGGAGAACGCAGGCAGCAACCTCTTTGATCTCAGCTGCAGCAACATCTTCCTAGGAACATCACCAAAGGCAAGGGAAGCAAGGGCAAAAATGAACTATTGGGATTTTATTAAGATCAAAAGCTTTTGCACAGCAAAGGAAACAGTTAACAAAACCAAAAGACAACTGACAGAATGGGAGAAGATATTTGCAAATGACATATCAGATAAAGGGCTAGTGTCCAAAATCTATAAAGAACTTAGCAAACTCAACACCCAAAGAACAAATAATCCAATCAAGAAATAGGCAGAGGACATGAACAGACATTTCTGCAAAGAAGACATCCAGGTGGCCAACAGACACATGAAAAAGTGCTCCATATCACTCGGCATCAGGGAAATACAAATCAAAACCACAATGAGATATCACCTCACACCCGTCAGAATGGCTAAAATTAACAAGTCAGGAAATGACAGATGCTGGTGAGGATGCGGAGAAAGGGGAACCCTCCTACACTGTTGGTGGGCAGGCAAGCTGGTGCAACCACTCTGGAAAACAGCACGGAGGTTCCTCAAAATGTTTAAAATAGAACTACCCTATGACCCAGCAATTGCACTGCTGGGTATTTACCCTAAAGATACAAACGTAGTGATCCGAAGGGGCACGTGCACCCGAATGTTTATAGCAGCAATGTCTACAATAGCCAAACTATGGAAAGAACCTAGATGTCCATCAACAGACGAATGGATAAAGAAGAGGTGGTATATATACACAATGGAATACTATGCAGCCATCAAAAGAAATGAAATCTTGCCATTTGTAACGACGTGGATGGAACTAGAAGGTATCATGCTTAGCGAAATAAGTCAATTGGAGAAAGACAACTATCATATGATCTCCCTGATATGAGGGAGAGGAGATGCAACATGGTGGGTTAAGGGGGTAGGAGAAGAGTAAATGAAACAAGATGGGATTGGGAGGGAGACAAACCATAAGTGACCCTTAATCTCACAAAACAAACTGAGGGTTGATGGGGGGAGGGGGGTTGGGAGAGGGGAGGTGGGATTATGGACATTGGGGAGGGTATGTGCTCTGGTGAGTGCTGTGAAGTGTGTAAACCTGGCTATTCACAGACCTGTACCCCTAGGGATAAAAATATATTATATGTTTATAAAAAATAAAATTTAAAAATAAAATTAAAAAAAAAATTAAGAGCTCATATACTGATGCATTTTGAAAAGCCAGGTTTTCCTTGACACCAAGGCCAGAGATGAACAAAACTCTCCTATGTATATGGATTAAAAATTCTAAACACAATTATTGGTAACCTTAATCTATAAATGCATAAACACAATATGCAATAACTCAACATTTACCCCAGAAATACTACTGACTTCTGTACATTGATTTTATATCCTGCCACTTTGCTGAATCCCTGTATGATTTCTAGCAATTGTGGGATGGAGTCTTTTGGGTTTTCCACATAAAGTGTCATGTCATCTGTGAAGAGTGAGAGTTTGACTTGTTAACATTGTAAAACTTGAAAGCAATTTAATATCATCAGCACTACAATGAATAAGTATACAGTACTATAGTCACATGTAGAATACTATACATCAGTGGAAATTGATGAAAAATAGTTTTATGCTTCAAAAGTGATGACTCTCAAGAATTTAATGTTAAGTGAAATAAACATCATAGAAGATACCTCAAAGTATGAATCCATTTATATAAACATAAAAATGTGGTCAAAATTAAATATTACATGATTTAATCTTATATACCTATATCGTCAAAGTTAAGGCAATGATTTTCACAAATTCAGGATGAGGTGGAATTGGAGGTTGTGACTGGGATGAAGCACCCAATACATTTCTAAACTACTGGTAATTATCTACTTCTTAAGATATGTGTTGGATACATGTTAAGTTTTGAGGTATTCATTTTATTAATTTTAGACTATAACTATGTAATATGTACTCTGACTATATGAGATATTTAACAATCTTTAAAAAGAAAACAAAATGGATATGTATATTCAATATACATATAAATATAATGCAAGATAAAGACCTCCACAGGATTAAGGTAATCTGCTAGTAATGTAATTACCTGTCAGAACAAAAAACAATAATTTAACAGTTTTCTAAAGGAAGAAAGTAGAACCAAAAGACTTGACATTACTAAGTTACAAAAAAAAAAAAAAAAAAAGGAAAAAGAAAAGCAATAGATCAAGAGATGACCAAATGGTACAGTTAGCAGACTTTCAAACAGTTACCAAGATGGTAATGAATTGATAGGAAAAATTGTCAGAATAAGTATCAGATGTGGAATCTCAGTAGTAAAATGGACACCTTACAATAGAAACTAATGGACAATATATAAATAAAAAGTACAATATTTGAAATGAAAATTTTACTGGATCAGCTTCACAGAAGCCTGAGTTTAGCAAAAGAATCAGGGAATTTGAATAAAAGTAAATAGAAACTATTCAAACTGAAGACTCAGATCTGGCTACTTCCTGCTGGCAAAGGCGAGTCGTCATAGGGTCCTTCAGATGTGGGTAGGCGGGTATAGGGATGCAGGAGGAGATCTGAGTCGCCGCCCCTATTACACCCAAAAGTTCGGAATGTTAGGTCAGCCGGCTCCAGGAGTGCAGGAGGAACAATAGAAATGACCTCAGGGTCCTGCCATCTTCCAGCCTCCTCTCCCCCCTTTCCTTCACCCTTGACTCTTCCGCCAAAAGGATGTATGCCCAGGTCAGGGCTCCATAGGTAACCCGATACCTATGCAGGAAACAGATAAAAGACCCTTGCCAACTCCTTCCCAGTGCGACTTCCCCCACTCCCCTTTCCGGAGTTGAGGAACCTCGCCCGAGGGTGCCCACCTCCTCCCAGCGGCAACTTTCCTGGCTCCCCTTCTCCTGAGCCCTGAAACTTTGCAGGAGAGTGCCTTTAATAAATCTTGCCTTGCACCCACTTCACCTGGTGTCGTGTTTATCTCACCTATAAAACCTTACATTACTATTGTCTTTTTTTTTTTTCATTCAAACTGAGATTTTGCTGGTTCTTGGTATAAGTAATTTTTGATTGTGTGCTAAACATTTACAGCATTGTGTTAGGAGAGCCAGGATGTTACTCAAATCTTGTACTATAGCAGGTCTCTGCTAATGCTGCACCAGTGAAGTAAGTGTGTATGTAGGGGATGTTATCTCTTCACTAGGTCCAGATAGAATTTCAATCTGCCAATTTTCTTCTTCCAAGATGGTTAGCTAAAACAGGTGGATATTATCAAAAAATATTTCTGCCTTACTAGGTCACCTTTTTATCTCTTTTCTTGATCCTTTGGATAAAGAAAGCAGATTTGGGGGGAGCTATTTTTTTTGCCTGCACCTGTTGTCATTTCTAGGTTGCAGACTTTCCAGTGTCCAGTCTGAGATAAATAAGAGGCAAAAAGAAAACCTGAGAAACTTACCACAGTGTCAGTCCTTAAGTTCTGAGGACTGTAGCTACTCTGCCTTCTCTCCACCTTTTAGACTTTTAAAAAAAAATTTTTTTTAAAAACATATATTATGCTCAAGTACCTTAGTTATAGTTAGCAGCAGCAATAAGGGGAAATGAATCTATTCCATCTGACACAGAACTAAATATCCTACTTTTATTAAAAATAAAATAACAACAACAGAAATAATGCAGTGGTCAGACTACTGTGGTCTTTAAGCTGCTCCCTGTTTTGATTCTGTAAATGGAAGAGTCAGGGAGGGATAATTTGTCTTTCTATCTTCAGCAATGACTGGGTAGGGAGAGCACTTTGTTTTTTTGATGTAGCAGGTGTTTTGCTCTGAGTAAATCAATAAGTTAACATTTACCTAGAGCTAGCAGAATTAGCATATGAAACAGGGCCGGGAGAGTTCCTGACCAGGTAAATGTTCTACATCTCTTTTGAAAGCTATGCAATTAACAGAGCAACTGTAGTTTCTTCCTTGTTAATAGGTATACTTCCTGTATTTCCCCATGACCTCTCTGGTACTGGCGTTTATTGCATACACTTATGCTGTATATTCCTAAATTGGGTGAACCTCCTTTAAGAGAGCAGGAAACAGCTCCTTTACATCTTCTCTTCCTTACAGATGCCTCCTGAACATTGTTACACACTATAGAGGGTCACAAATATCTGATGCAATTATTCATCCTCCTGTGAGTCTGGGTAGCATAAGCTAGTCCTTCTTATGTACAACCACCCTGCTTTCAGACCTTGAAGAGTGTGACATGGACTACGAGAGATAGCATCTCCCCAGGGCAGATTTGTCTTTAAAAAACACTGAGCTCAAGAAGAAAACCCACAGGGACTACCCAACCCACCAGGAGCTGTTTATTGAAATCTCTTCCCAGGATCTTTGTGTCTGGGGCTCAGCTCACCATCTTCAGGCATAAACCAGAGAGTTCACATCTTTGTTTATTGGTTGCCAGCCATTCCTCCATGATTTTCGTCTCTCCACCCACCTTTCCCCCAATAAATACATTTGTTGAATGAATGTAGATATGAATGAGTGAATGGAGGAAAGATGAATGAAATAAAATGAATGAACTTGGAAGCTACAAAGGTGCCTGAAAACGCAGAAATTCTCATGAATTTCAAATTTATTGACTGAGGATGTACCGGGGCTGGGAGATCGTTGTACAGAAACCAAAGAGGAAAAACTGCAGAACAAGATGCAGCCCCAGAGCTCAGTGGCTCGGGTGTTGACACCTGAAGGATTTGGGAACATCAGGGCAGTATCATGAGACCGCTAAGCCCATTGGCGCTCACGGAGAATACTTCCATCTCTTTCTTCTCCGCGGCGTCTAACGGACCTTATTTGCTTGGCCAGGTAGGCGCCTGCTTCTGCTGGGTCTGGTGGCAGATCGGGACGCCCTTGCCACCCCCGGAGGAACCGCAGCCCCCGGAAGAGCCACCGCCGCAGCCGGAGCCGCCGCCGCCCCCACCACTGGAGAAGCAGCCACCGCCGCCGCCGCCGCAGCTGGAGAAGCAGCCACCGCCGCCCCCAGAGGAGGCGCCGCCGCAGCTGCCTCCGGAGGATCCCCCTCCGTAGCTCTGCTGAGGCATGCACGAGGCCTGGGTGGTCTGCTGAGAGAAGTAGCCGGAGCCGCCGCCGGAAGAGCCGCCGCCACAGCCGGAGCCGCCGCCGCCGCAGCCCGAGCCGCCGCCGCCCCCGGAGGAGCCGCCGCCGCAGCCGGAACTGCCGCCGCCCCCGCAGCCGCCGCTGGAGACGCTTCCGTAGCTCTGGCACTGGACCTCTTGGCCCGAGCCGCCGCCGCCGCCGCCGCCGCCGCCTCCGGAGTAGCAGCCACTGCTGCAGTCGGAGGAGCCGCCGCCGCCGCCGCCGCCGCAGCTGGAGAAGCAGCCACCGCCGCCCCCAGAGGAGCTGACCAGGTAAATGTTCTACATCTCTTTTGAAGCTATGCAATTAACAGAGCAACTGTAGTTTCTTCCTTGTTAATAGGTATACTTCCTGTATTTCCCCATGACCTCTCTGGTACTGGCGTTTATTGCATACACTTATGCTGTATATTCCTAAATTGGGTGAACCTCCTTTAAGAGAGCAGGAAACAGCTCCTTTACATCTTCTCTTCCTTACAGATGCCTCCTGAACATTGTTACACACTATAGAGGGTCACAAATATCTGATGCAATTATTCATCCTCCTGTGAGTCTGGGTAGCATAAGCTAGTCCTTCTTATGTACAACCACCCTGCTTTCAGACCTTGAAGAGTGTGACATGGACTACGAGAGATAGCATCTCCCCAGGGCAGATTTGTCTTTAAAAAACACTGAGCTCAAGAAGAAAACCCACAGGGACTACCCAACCCACCAGGAGCTGTTTATTGAAATCTCTTCCCAGGATCTTTGTGTCTGGGGCTCAGCTCACCATCTTCAGGCATAAACCAGAGAGTTCACATCTTTGTTTATTGGTTGCCAGCCATTCCTCCATGATTTTCGTCTCTCCACCCACCTTTCCCCCAATAAATACATTTGTTGAATGAATGTAGATATGAATGAGTGAATGGAGGAAAGATGAATGAAATAAAATGAATGAACTTGGAAGCTACAAAGGTGCCTGAAAACGCAGAAATTCTCATGAATTTCAAATTTATTGACTGAGGATGTACCGGGGCTGGGAGATCGTTGTACAGAAACCAAAGAGGAAAAACTGCAGAACAAGATGCAGCCCCAGAGCTCAGTGGCTCGGGTGTTGACACCTGAAGGATTTGGGAACATCAGGGCAGTATCATGAGACCGCTAAGCCCATTGGCGCTCACGGAGAATACTTCCATCTCTTTCTTCTCCGCGGCGTCTAACGGACCTTATTTGCTTGGCCAGGTAGGCGCCTGCTTCTGCTGGGTCTGGTGGCAGATCGGGACGCCCTTGCCACCCCCGGAGGAACCGCAGCCCCCGGAAGAGCCACCGCCGCAGCCGGAGCCGCCGCCGCCCCCACCACTGGAGAAGCAGCCACCGCCGCCGCCGCCGCAGCTGGAGAAGCAGCCACCGCCGCCCCCAGAGGAGGCGCCGCCGCAGCTGCCTCCGGAGGATCCCCCTCCGTAGCTCTGCTGAGGCATGCACGAGGCCTGGGTGGTCTGCTGAGAGAAGTAGCCGGAGCCGCCGCCGGAAGAGCCGCCGCCACAGCCGGAGCCGCCGCCGCCGCAGCCCGAGCCGCCGCCGCCCCCGGAGGAGCCGCCGCCGCAGCCGGAACTGCCGCCGCCCCCGCAGCCGCCGCTGGAGACGCTTCCGTAGCTCTGGCACTGGACCTCTTGGCCCGAGCCGCCGCCGCCGCCGCCGCCGCCGCCTCCGGAGTAGCAGCCACTGCTGCAGTCGGAGGAGCCGCCGCCGCCGCCGCCGCCGCAGCTGGAGAAGCAGCCACCGCCGCCCCCAGAGGAGCCCACCCCCGCAGCCCGAGCCGCCACCTCCGGAGTTGGAGAAGCAGCCACTGCCACCCCCGGAGGAGCCACTACCCCCCGAGTACTTGACACTCCCACCAGAACCTCCTCCGCAGCCTCTGGAGCCGCCGCCCCCGCCGCCGCCGCCACCAGAGTAGCCGCCGCCGCCACCAGAGTAGCCTCCGCAGCCAGAGCTACTGCTGCCGCCGGAGTACTTGACGCTCCCGCCGGAGCCGCCACCGCCGCCGCAACCGCCGGAGCCGCCGCCGCCGCCGACGCCGCAACCGCCGGAGCCGCCGCCGCCGCCGCCGCCGCAACCGCCGGAGCCGCCGCAGCCGCCGAAGCCAACACTGCTGCCGCAGTCGGAGCCGCCGCCGCCGCTAGGGAAGCCACAGCCGCCGCCACCTCCGCCGCCTCCGCCGCCTGAGGTCTTCCCGCAGCCGACTGGGGGTAGAGGGGTGGGCTGCTTTTTCTGGTGAGACATCTTGTCTAAGGAGGAATGGAACCCTGGAAGGAGAGCAGAGAGCATCACTGGACCAGCCGTAAGAGGATGCTGCGGAGGAGGCAGCTGCATACATTCATGCAGAGCTGGAAACGCCCATCAACCTCAGAGCAACACTGTCTGGGCCTGGCTTGAAGCCCTCTGTTGAGATCTGGGAGAGCTCTCAGATGGGACTCTTAGGATTAGTGCTTTCGGAAGAGTTGTACTCCCCCTCAGAAAGTCTTTACCAAGCTTTAAATAGGCCAGTAGTGTTGCCCATTTCTCTCTCCCAGCTTGGCCTCTGGCGTCTGCTGTGTGATTTGGCAGCAAATGACCCACACTCCCTCATCCGTCCTCGACTTCTATAAAATGAGAGGGTTAGACAACTTCATCTTTCAGGTCTCCGTTCCCAACACGGATTCTCTGAATGCAAATAGAAATTAGCACAAACCTCCACCTAAGGTAGGGGATTTTATGCATCCCTGGCACAACAGAGTGGGAGGTTTGTCTGAATGTCAGAGGTTTTTGCTCCCCACCCGGCATGCTCTTAGTTCAGGGATGCCATGGTGGGTGGCTCATTCAACTAAGTGTCAGACTCTTGATTTCGGCTCAAGTCATGATCTCAGGGTTAGATTTAGCCCAGAGGCAGGCTCCTCCTTCAGCAGTGAGTCTGCTTAAGATTCTCTTTCTCTCTCTGCCCCTCCCCCCCTAAAATAAATAAATCTTTAAGGGGGAAAAAAAAAAGCGCTCTTATTTCAAATTCTTGGTCTGAGCCTAGGCATGATACCAGGGCTAGTTATCAGAAAAGGCTACCCCCTCCCACCCCGGTCCTGTCTGGACATAGGGGAAAAGACCCAGTGGTCCTTTGGACCAGCATCTCTGACCAGAAGATGTAGGCTTTGTTTACATCCAAGCTTGGTTGAGGCGACCATTACTAGTAGGAAGTTGTGTCCCAGTATCTCATACCATTTCTCTTTCAGAACATCTCTGAAAAACTGGTACCAGGTTCCTATGGCTCCCCAAATCTCCCCCATCTGCAGCATTCTCTGAATTACTCTCCCAGTTCTCCCTTACTCTTTGGAAGTAAGACTCAGCCTCTCCTCCTGGCAGGTGCAAGAGGTCCATCCTGCCCATTCACAAGGGTAGTCTGCAGAATGTCCATGTGTGCCCATCACTGCCTGGCCCTACTGGGATGTCAGAGAGACAGAACGTAGTCTTGCCTTTGTGGAATTCCCATTCTGGCCAGAAAACCAGAGATACCATCCGTAGAGCAGCAGCTCAGCCCCCAACTTCCAACCTGAATTACCTCTAAACATGAATGCAGTTGGAAAGACAGAGATCCTGTAGTTTCCAAAGAGAAGAGAGGCCTTACAGGTCTGTGCCCTGGTCCACCTAGCCTGAGCAGGGCTGGGGAAGATTAGCTGGAAAGATGAGAGCCAGGAGAACTCACACTTACCTGAAGCACCAGGGGCTGAGTGAGGAGAGAAGATGCTGGCTTATGTGAGGAGCTCTGGAGCTTCCAAGGTTTTATACAACACTTGAGCCCTGACTCATCTATTAATCTGGGTCTACCTCTCATATTTGGACTCAGTTATGTGACCTATGGCTGCCGCCCCACCTGTCTGTTGATTACAGGCACAGGGTGGCCCATTCATGAAGATTTTTGCATACTCTAGATGGGCAGCCTAGTGTGCATCTCTGATGCAACTATGTAGCAGCAGGGATGGCTAGCCAAAGTGGATGGCAGACATTGTTTCCAAAACCTGTGGCAAAGGGCACATGCCATGAGACCTAGGTCTCTGACTCTTGAGGTGGCCCAAGAGAGTCACACTGGAGATCTCAGTCCTTAGTCCAAGAAGTGGGAACTAGTCTTTGGCTTTTGATCCCATTGCTTGGAACCCTTGGAACTTTAGAGAGAACCCATCCCTCTTTTGCCTAAAGTTTCTCCCCCAGGGTTTCATGTGTGGTTCACTAAAGTGTTCTTGTCTTGAAACTAGCTTGAAAGAATGTATGAGTCCCCTATACCCAGTTCTGGGCTTCACACCATGGACAGGGCTGTAACTAATGGGACATGAATATCTACTTTGATTTATTCCTGGAGATTTATTCGTCTGAAAAAAGTGATTATTGATACTTTGCATGCAAAGGAACAAGCTAAAGAGCTCTATCATGTGGTCCTTCCTACCATGGCCCTTTGGCCCTGGCATCCTGCGGTCTTGTGTGGCAAAAGTGACCTCATCCTAGGAGGCAGCTGTGAAATAGAAAGGACTTGAATTTAGGTGTCCAGATTAGGGTGCTCCATATGCTACTTGCCAGCTGTGTCACCTTGGACAAAGTCACAGCCCCTTACCTGGTGCCTAACATAGGAAGCACTCAATAAGTATTTGTCGATTATTGAATGAGTAGGCTTCTGATGACCAGTTACCTTGTCTATCAAATAGGAGTAGTAGGGCTCCTGGGTGGCTCAGTGGGTTAAGTCTCTGTCTTCGGCTCGGGTCATGGTCTCAGGGTCCTGGGATTTAGTCCTGCATTGGAATCTCTGCTCAGTGGGGAGCCTGCTTCCCCCTCTCTCTGTGCCTGCCTCTCTGCCTACTTGTGGTCTCTGTCTGTCAAATAAATAAATAAAATCTTTAAAAAACACAAATAGGAATAGTAATGTTTGTTTCATAGGCTCGGGAAGAGGGAATAGTTACAATAAACTGTAGGTGATTATGTTCTTTTTATTTTCTCCTATTACAGCACAGTCTTACCTCCAACTTGGTCTGCCTTTGGACAGAAAGACCAGAAAGTCTTAAGTCTATGGATAGCTAGAGGCAAGTTCTTCAGTAAGAAAATACTCAAAGATTTTCCATTGACCCTGGATGAGTAGTATCACTTCTATGTATGAAGAGCATGCCCCCCTTCTTTCATCATCAGAACCCAATTGCTATTGTTTAAGAAATGTCAGTTGAACTTTGTTCCACCCACCTATGTTTTGAAATGACAGTGCCAATAATAAATTGACTATTAATTATGGTGGCTTAATGATCAAGTGATCCTGTTTAGACTGTGGTCTTCAGAAACTTGTGGTGCTTGTTCTAGTTTGGATGGCATGAACCCAGGTAAACCCACATGCTCCCTTCCTAAGAGAATAGCCAAAAGGGAAAAACCAGGATCTGTTGAAGAAAGCAGGTTTCTCAGCTTGAAGGTGAGGTGTCAGGGAGATTTTGAAGGAAACAAGCTCCAACTAGATTGCCACAGGTATAACAAAGAATGGTTTTATTTAGTTGGGCAGCACTAGAGAAGGGGAGAAAGTGTAGACCATGTGGAGTTCCAGCACTGATCTGTGGACCTGTGTTGATCTATTACTGTGTGTTCTCTAGTCTGGAGGTAAATGTAAGTAAAAGGATGTCAGCAGTGCATCCTTGAGAAGGAAAGTTCTTTTATTTTGAAATCATGGCCTTCCTACTTTTGGGTGTGTTAAAAATATCATTTCTTTTAAAAGTGACGGATGCTCCAGGAGGTTGTAGTTGTTTCTTTTAAGTCCTCACTTGACCAAAAATAAATAAATAAATAAATAAAAATAGAACAGTTACCATATTGTTTTGCAGGAGGTGTTACTACTCTGAAATTCTGATGTTTGGGAACCTCAAGTGCAGGTGACCCATTGCCCGTGTCAGTTTGGAGGGTCCATGTTCTTAAAAGAAATATACGATATTTTCTTGCTTTCTATGATTTAAGATGCTAGGAATTTATTCATTAATCTAGCCAACAACAGTGTACTAGGTACTACAGTGAACATTAATAAAGAGTCAGAAGCCTTGTCAAAAATTATGCACAGATCACCTTGGTGGATTTGGAAGAGGGATACTCCATGACTGCCCCTGCCACCCTAGATGGCATTTAATAAGGAAACCCTTTTAACGAGCTCATCTACTTTGTTAGTATGTAGAAAAGGTCAATGCAACATGGTATTGGCAACAATGCTAGATCTTGTGGCTCTAAGTTAACCTTGTCTGAGGTGTGAATACATGAACCTCATTCTCCATTTTCTCTCTCTAGACCAGATGTAGTAATATTCTGTGTGGACACCAACTGATGATTGTATTTCAGCAAATCCATGAGGAAATGATGGGACTTTATAGAATTATTATACTTGAGTATTTGGTTTTATAAAATTTTACATGTCATATTTTTAAGATTTATAACCTTAAGCACTTAGTGCTGAATATATGCTTACTAGCACGCTTGAGTTCTGCAGCCTTGCATTAGATCTTGGTTCCTGCCTATACCTGTATTCTTAGAGGAAATGGATTGTAAAACAAACACAGCAGTATCTAGTGTGGTGCTAGTTGTTAATAGCTGCTCAGTAAATCCTAGTGGAAATGAAAGAAATTCTTAATGCCTATTGACTAATAGCCCCAGTGCAAGGAGGGACATGGTCCCTGTCCCAAGCAATCCTCAGTCTGAGGGGAGATCACAGCTCTTGAGTTTGAAGAGCCCCAATCTGACAGAAGCCTGATCATCACAGTCTTTGAGCATCTAAAGCTACACACATGCATTTTCTTGACTGAGAGCTAACAAACTACCTAACTGAGGGTTAAAGGGCAACAGGTGGTTTGTAAAGAATAAAATGGACACAGGCAAGGGCTCAGGAGCACTGGTAGGGCAGGCATAAAGCTTGGAAGCCCTTAACATTGTCCACATTCAATATGAAAGTTTCCTCTTTAAGTCCTGGCCAGGAAGTGCCTCAAAGCCTCAGGCACCACCACCCACACCAGGCTACAGTTTGGTCCTCTGTCCAGCCCTCCAGGGTTAACAGTTGGGAGAGGTGGTTGTCTTTGTTAGAAGTCTGGGAGGACACCTCTGTAATGGTTCACATCTGCTAGAATTACTTCTTCAGGAAGCTTCCCCAGCTTCATCCACCCATGTGTTCCATCTTCTTTGACACTTTCCCTTTCCAAGTTCTTAAGGAACAACTGTACAAGTTACAGCCTGCTAAGGACACAACCAGGAGCCTTGTT